AGATCATTTTGATACACGACAATTGCAACCCCCTCGCCTGTAGAAACTGCAGTGGCTGCAAATGCATGAATAACACAAAACTCCCCTATATATATTTTGTTACCCAGGGCAAAAATGGGTCCTCTCTCTAGATTATGCATGGTGTTAGGGTATACTGTAACATGTCCATTGGTTGCTGTTGTTTTAGGTTCTGGCAGGTCTGTTCTCTCTTTTGATCCTCCCACCCCCTTCTTTAATCCTTTAAAATGTTGAAAATCAATAAAACAAAATAGATAAAAGAAGAAGAAAGTCATGCACATGGTATATGTGGGGCACTGAAAGAATCACTTTTATTGTTGAAGGAAAAGGATTAAGGCTGATGATTTGTCAGTAATGATGCCAGATATGCAAAAAATAGCTTTTTATAAAGCTTTTACTAAGTGGAGATAAAGATGATAACAAAAGATTACACTCTTCTTCTATCTACGTATTTTTAGCATCTCATATCCTGTGTATGAAAAGAGTAGCTCTATTTTCCTGAAGGAGCACACACTTAAAGGTCCAGTGTGTAACATTTAGGAGTATCTATTGTCAGAAATTTAACATAATATTCATAGGTATGTTTTCATTAATGTATGATACATGTTGAAAAGACAAACCAAACACTGGCTCTCAGTATGGCCTTTTACATGACCACCTTAGTCTCTCCCTTGCAGTAGGACAGGCAGGGTGAAGCAATCTGCAACTACACTACTGCCTCTAAATGCTAAAATCTAATTCTACACACTGGTGCTTTAAGGTATTGTAACCAAACTTTTTTGCACAGTCTAGGGATATTCTGCCACTGGCACTACTACTCTTGTTTGAAGCAGCATTTTTATATTACATTGAGGTATTAGCCAATCAGCTGTCTTTCTTTCCTTCAAACTACTAAGCAACAAACAGCCCAAACCAGATTCTCACACAACACACCCTACAAGGTGCACACTGTCTTACAACAGCTACCACAGTCCTAGCACTATCTCACCAGGAGTCAGCTATGAATTATCATCAGCAGGTAAGAACCAACAACACAAAGACCAGCTGTGAATTATCTCTCAGTGGCACAGAATTAATAACTAGACATTAATGTAGATACATATTTTGAGTATGATCAGCCAACTTATGATAGCTGCTGCTGCATCTGTATTCCTGAATCATGAATCAGAGTTTGTTATTCTGTAGGTAACGTAATGTAGAATTATCAGTGTAATGTAGAATGTGCTCATATACAAATGTGACTTCATCCAATGGAACTGTGAGGAAAATATAAAACACATCATGCATTATTACATTATATATTACACATTATTGCATAAGTGGCTGCAGTATTTACTGAAGAACATTTTACAGCAGCTCTGCCTTGTCCTGAATGAAATGTAGCTAAACCTGCTTTCAGACTGGATAGGGAGTGGAGCAGGGTGGAGGCAAGTCTTTTATTATTATTTTCTGTCTTGTGCTTTGTAATTAATGCAGGTTGAAGAAATTGTGTCCACTGCCAAATTCGGGGACTTGATTGAATTTTCCTACCCCATTGGATATTCACACTGGGGGGTGTATGATGGAGATGGACATGTACTCCATTTTGCTGTTGCAGGTGAGGACAGCATCCAGTACATTACATCAGTGGTTAAGGACCCCAATCTAAAACAATGGTTCGCAACCTGGGGGTCGGGGCCCCCATTAGGGTTCACTACAGCTTCACAGGGTGTTGCGAGGCCTCCTTTATTTTAAGGGGTGTAAGAAAACTTAAAAAATATACACAGTAAGCCTCTACTATCTCAACATTTCCTTCACTTATGTGAAGAAAAAAATCAAATGACACTGATTAAAATTTTAAATAAAACTAATGCAGTTTTGTTTGTTAAAAAACATTCTTAATCAAGTAGCTTTAGTAATTTAAAAAAAGTATTTTGTGAAAAAAATTGTAAAAATTACTTAATTGAGAATGTTTTTTAACTTAACTAGATTGAGTTTGTTTAACTCAAAATCTTAGATGTAAACTGTTTCAACAATTAAGTTAATTAAGTTAAAATAATGTGTATTATTTAACATCTAAACTTTGATGACTTGAACACATGCTGTATTAGAACAATGGCCAAGATTTTTGCTTTTAGATGTTTTATTTCAGAAGGTGTATGAAAATAGTCATACATTCTGTAATTATTAAACTTATGAATGGAATTATAGTGAAAATGATTTATTCCCCTTTTTGCTGGGGACCCTCTGGAACCCTCTCAAGGACCCCTGGGGGTCCCTGGACCACAAAACTACTGTATTACATACAAGTAGAAGCAGAAAAAGAAGAACATATAAGGACAAAATCTCCTTTTCAAAACTAGTTTTGTATGAAATGTCCTGCAGATAGGGAACATGAAATGTTGGTCCAATACCAATATTTAGAATTACAATTTGGTCGATGCCAATGTTTATCCGCCCCTTTTCCTCCAATATTCAAGTTGGAAACAACCAACACAACATTTAACCTGTGCAAAAGTGATCCTACAGATAAACATGTTATTTTATCTTATTAAATGCCAACCAATATAATATAATGTAAATTATAGAGGCTAAGGTTTATTTAATTATCTTGGCAATCGTCCACTAAACGGAAGGTTGTTGGTTCGATCCCCGGCTCTTGCAATGTGTTGAAGTATCTAGAGCAAGATACTGAACTCCAAATTGCATCATTGTGTGAATTTGTATAAAAGAAAATCACCACCTAAAATACAGTATAGAAATCCCGGAGAATCAATCTCAAGTAGGGCCTTAGCTGTCAGTCATGACGTGAAAACTTCTTTATTACCCCTAATGCAGTCGTCCATCTTCTATATGTCAAGGAGGTTACACCATCAACTTCACAAGCCTGTAACTCCAATCGTTTACACACAGTGATAACACACTGATTTATATTTTTCCTTCATTATTGTCCTTGTTCATTGAACAACTAAATGTTATACTGCTTAGACTGGAGATAATAGCAGTGACAACTTGTACATTTATTTAGTTGCAGCAACTCAAGAACATGGTTGTGAAAGCAAGTTTGGTGAATTTGGTGTATTTGATGTATTATGGTGCTATTTGACAGTGGTATAAAAAGATACATCCGATTGTTTGTCAAATTGTTGAACATCCTGAACTGTCTCTGTTTATCTTTAGATGAGGGTCAACTGATGACCAGTGTACGTACTTACCTGCAATCAATCTTGCCTGTATGTGGGGACCTTCTTCTTGGGGAGACCCGGATCCGCAGAGTGCCTCTCGGTGAGGTGAACGTCCCAAAAGGAGCCCACGTCTTGATCAGTAACAACCGCCATGCCTTCACGCCATCTGCACCTGAGGACATGAAGTTACGGAGTAACACCCTTCTTAATCGGGACTTCCCGTATGATCTTTTCGGCCTCAACTGTGAGCATTTTGCCACTTTTGTACGCTACGGAAAAGCTGTGTGCAACCAGGTATAAATTTGGTACTTCAAAAATTAACATCTTGCAGTGTTTCTATTGACTTTTCTTTGTTTTAAGACTAATTTACTGTGCCCAATACATGTTTGTGGTGTGCTGCACTGTATAACTGCATAAATTAGTTCAGCTCAAACTGCTTGAGGAAACCTTAAACTGTTTAAGTTTATTAACTCAAACAACTTAAGTAGCTCAAGTATTTATTGTTGAGGTAATTTGGGTAAATTAAGTTAATTGTACTAATTCCATTCAGTTAATTAGTGAGTATATTACATTCATATGCAAAAAATATTCGAATAAAGACTAGAAGAAAGTTTTCTCTAACTCAGTTTTCTTCCTCTAAAGCAAATTATTACATTACCTGTCAAAACAGCTGACATAGGACAGCAATTTATAATTATTGGATTATTAATATTTTTTTATATTCAAATGTTGTATTATATTATTATGAAATAGTAGCAAATTCATTTTTAAAATATTTTTTAGGGGGGAAGCCAATTAATTTTCTTTGGATCAACTAATCTAATTACTGCTGTAATTTAGTTGTTAACAAGCCTACTTGTTTTTTATGTGACTTTACATATAAGCAGATATTTAAGAATTGTTTGGATGCATACTTGGAAATATGATGACTTATAAACTGTAATTTACAAAAAAAAAAATCTTAAGCATCATAGCGTTCCTATAAAGTCAACTTAAAGAAAATAAGTCAATGGAACAAACTGGAATTATGTCACCAATACTTGCACACATTTTCACAGATTTTGACTAAAACAACTGAATTATTACTTAAACAATTCCTTTTTCAGTTGGGTTTAATTCAGGGGATTGAATGACTCCACATTTTTCGGAAGATTAAGTTCTATTAACTTACTTCATTTATAAAGATATTCTGTTTTGCAGTGTACAGAAGAACAAGTTCTGCCTGGGATTCAGAGCTGGGTTTATGTTTATGATGCACAAGCCAATTTGGTATTCGCACTGGCAGTCTGAGGTAAGTTTGAAAACATGACTTTTAATATCCAGTACTTTTCTAACAATATACTGTGGCAAGATATAAATATATTGGTTGGGACCAAGGCCAAGCCATGACAGCTCTGCCCTCATCCAGAGTGTGTAGATAATTGGCTCAACATGTTTGGTCATACAGGTGACTGGAGAGCAGCAACCTTTTTAAATATCTTTCTGTGTTCAGCTCTCAGTGCTTTTGTAGCCCATGCATAAAGTAAGAATTTCTCAGCTCCCACATTACACTAAAAGCTTTCTAGGTTTATGTTATGAAGCAGCAAAAGGAAATGTAATTTGTTCTTGCCAACAAGGTCACTGCTTTTTGTTTAATAAAAATTGGCGAACCAAAAAAAAAAGATGGGGACATTTAAAATATTGCAAGGAAGGAATGAAACACCCATGAGTTCGAGAAATGAAGAGCCAATTTGGATGCAGCCATTCATAATTGACATTTGTTATAATTAGGGTTATGGTGAAATACCATTATAAACTTGCTAAAATCTGTTCTTTTGCATGTCTTAGGTTGCTTTCACCCCTGTAGTGATTCACTTGGTCCAGACTAAGCCAAACCATTTTAGCTCTGGACCTTTTCGTGCAACACTGTATTTTTACAAAAGGAACCAAGAGGAGTAAATATAAAGTGAAATGGACTGACAGATAACTGTCAGCTGGCATCATCAGCACTACATGGGCCCATGCGGGGAAATTAAATTCCAGTGACTGACAGCAAGTCATCCTGCTTTTTACATTCATCTTCTCTGGCATTACAAAGAGCTCAAAGAAATAACTGATCGTGAGCATGTTTCTAATAATGTTCTTATTCTATTGATTGCTCATACAGACTGCTTCCCTGACAGTTCCCATGATCAGCAGATGGATTTAATATCAGTTACTGTCTAATAAGGTAGCACATGATGCTGGTAGCCCAGAGTACACTAAGCTGTTCACCATCTCAACCAGCCTTTATAGTCCACTGCCCCTTTGAAATGAACATTAGCTGAACCATCATAAGCTGCCAACTTAATCACAAGGACACATTTCTAATGGATTTTGGAGGTTGATCATTGTAAGATTCTTACACCCAATACATCAAAACTTTTATCTGTCAACTATTTTGATTATCACTGAAGACATTTTAATGAAAATATGAGTTACAGTCCTGTACAAAATAATTCAGATGAACTGTTTATACCTACAGACATCCATGGAATCCACCATATTTCTACAGTAGCCCAGAACACAGGCTTTTTAAGTAATATTTTCAATAATATTTTCAATAAACCTTTATGTTAATGGAGTGTGGTATTAGTAGGCTACTTTTACTTTCACTTACCATTGTAATTAAACATCAAAAGTCCTTTTTCTCTGACCTTCAGTTAGAAAATTTGGTGTGTAAACTCTTGTAGGCTGTGAGCTTTGAATGAACTGTTAGTGCATTGCTGACTAATGTGGCTTTTTGTTTGGGGCTTGGAACGAGTGAGTTTAGAATGAAAAGAGTCTTTACTAGGCTGAGGCAGAACCCAAAAGACACAAACTTGGTCGAAAATAACAGGATCAGGATCAGAAAACTACAGGCTGATACTGACGCTGGACAGCACACGGACGGATGTGAACCAGTATATATTTTGGGAGCTAATGAGGTAATGACAAACAGGTGGGTGGGGAGGGTGAGCAGGTAAGGTGACTCTAAGAAGACGGGCTGGATGGAGCAGCTGGGTCTGAGTTAGAACATGAACAAATGACAAAGCAGAATAAATGAATGAATAAATGAAGATACCCAAAACCATGACATTATGTCGCTCTTGAATGCCTGATCTGAAATTTGATCTGTTTGTCTGCAGAATGAGCAGTTTCACAGACGTTGATAGCTGCTTCAACAAAACAATATAATATAATAACTTCTTGGACTATGATCCAACTGTGGCCGTTCCATATTTGTACTAGTGGAAGTTGGAAAAGCTACACACACTGTATGGACAGCAAACAGCCGCTGGGTGAAATCAGTTACCAACCTTGAGTCAACTTGGGCTCCTGGAACCTCACTGTGGCAGGGCTGATGGTTTTTTATCTTATGGCGATTGTTTTTGACCTTTTGTCCCCCATCTCTACTGGAGTTTTGCTGGAATTGGGGGAATGGAAAATATTTGGTAATTTCATATATGCTTGTACTATGTCCAAACTCTTTCAGTAACTCTTTACGATGGTGTTTACAGTGGGACATTGAACACAGTCTATCACTGTTATGCTGTGATTTGCCTGTACTTTTAATTCAATAAAGCAGCTGGTTGATTTTCATGCTTGTATCTGTTCCTTTTCAAATAAGCCATAATAGCCTGGAGGCAGGAGAGGGGAGCTTTATTACAGCAGGGCTGATGGGGACAACAGTGATCCAGTGTTTTAATTACTAATATCTGGTTAGTCAGTATGGACCTGCATTTGTTAAGCTGCTTTTTCATTATCACACACATCACTTCCCTTCCTCCTTTCTAGCCTTCTCTCTCACTCTTTCCCTTGTTTTTGATCAGTTTTTCTTTTCTTCTATTTCTTTTCAGTCCCTCGTCCTCATATTTTCTCTCTCTCTCTCTGGCATTCTCTCCTTGTGTACAAGCTAGATTTTAATAGAAATATATTGTTTATGAACTGGGGACCATAATCAGATTTCATCCCCTCCTTCTGACCTCATTAGTATTGACCTGTCCTTCAGTGATGATGTCACCGGCGGCTGCTGTAAGCTAGCCAATGCTCTATGGTTAGAATTGGGTTGTGCCTCAACAGTTTGTGTCTATGTGTCCTTTCTCCGGTGTGCACACACACATACACAACGCAATTTTGGAGTCTTTCTATCAGTCATTCATTTTAGAAAAATCTCTTTTCCGTGGTGAAACATGTTATTTGTGTTATTTATTCAAGTTGACTTCAAAACAATCAAATGTATGTTTGGACAGAAACATCACATCTTTTATCCACTCTGGTCTTTAAGGGAAAATTCTGCAATTTGTGATTTACATCCTGAACCACACATATTCAAAGTGTTACAGGTTAACCTTTGACACTGGATTCAAGAGTTTAAACTCCATCTGATTCCAGAAGAATATGCACTGGCTATTGCTGAATATAATGACAATGCTCTTTTTTCCTAGCATAGTTGCCTAAACATAAACATATTGTAAAGGTCCGCTGAACTGTTGCAGCTCTCCGACCCTGTGTGTGGGAGCTGCAATATGGAACCCAAGCATGGATTTTGCAGATATGAACAATTTGTTTGATATTGCTTCGAAATTTGAGCGTCATTACTGGTTACTTTAATAATGTAATACATTTTAAATGAACACATACTTTCAGGTAAGTACTGCTACTGGCTGAACCTGGCTCCCAAGGGAAGCAACACAGAGGGGTTATATACAAACTGTAACTTTCAAAACAAAGCTCTCATTGGGTGCAGTTTTCAGGTTCTGGCAGAAAATAGAATTGTTCCTAATCACACACGCATCGTTAATTTAATCACCTGTGCTTTTCCAATTCAACCACCTGTGTGTGCCTATATAATGCCAAAAACACATCTTCTTCCTCTGAATATAGTTTATAACGGATGATGCAGATTTGTTCTTGGCTGTCCTTTTCACAACCCACCATTGTACAATGTATGATAGTTTTCAACTTCCCTCTCCTGACATAAGAAGACAGCAGTATTGGCTGCAGTTTAATTTATGTATACATTTCAGTTACCCCCACTGTTTAAAACAGTTTATGGTACCTTTCTCCTCTACTTATCAGTTTAGACATTCTACACAGCTCCTCTGTTCTGTTTCTGCAGTCTCTAAGTCAATAGCTAAAAAATCCTTCATGTTTAAAGCTCCCTCCGACTGGAATGATCTACCTGTAAATATTCGCTCCATATCATCTTATCACCTGTTTAAAAATGCCCTGTCTTCTTATTTCAGGATCACCTGTACATGTTCTAAATGACAGTTGTAAAGTCCATAACCACA